TTTTAAGACATACAAGAGACAGCTTTCTCCTGACAGATGGGAATCTGAGGCTATTTTGCTTCCTCCCTTTTTGCGTTACCAGACCCAATTGTGTAAAGCTTTTAGCTTCAAAGCCGAGTTGTGAATAACATTGGTTTAACCTGAAATTTAAAGCCAGCATTTCTTTGCTCCCTGAGATGGGGCTTCCTGCCCCTTGCTCCCCTGAAGCTAGCTTCCAGAATGTTAATTCTACGAGCCATGGTTGACTAAGCCCAGCACTGGGTCTATTACATATTATTTGATTTGGAGTAGAAAAAAAAAAAAAAGATTTAAAGATACCTTGCCCCCTGTATACCTTTATACTTTTGGCCATGTCTACCCTATATTTAAGTATACCATTCACGTGGTGAGTTTAGATTTTTCTCTGTGGAATAAAATGAGTCTGAGTATTTCTGTAGCCTGCCTCCAAGACCACATTGTCCAATTAAGTGAGACAGAATCTTTGGAGTGCAGCAGAGAAATGCTGCAAAAACTTACACTGGAGGTCTGGAGGTTCAGACCTGCCCTTGTACACAGGATGATTTTCGGCACTGAGTTTTGAGCTGCCTCTGAGCATATAATCTGTTTGCATGGCTCATATTCACTACGCACCTACTGTGTGCAGCTTTTGGAGGCAGGTCAGCATAGCCCTGCCCTCAGAATCAGACACCTTTTGGTAAGAGCACTTGTGGTTGATACCTGCACCCATCTGAGTCTGATTATTTTGTAGTTAACATTTGTTTCCTCCACCAAATGTAATTCCAAGAGTTCAAGGTTTGCATCAGTTTTTGCCTATTTCTGCATCCCCAGCGTGAGAGAGTGTTCACTATGCTGGATGACAGAAGAATGAATGAAAGAATGAGTGAGGTCAGGTAAAGGGATCCTGACATTTCCAGACCAGATGTGCAGTGGGAAAGTGGTTATCATAGATATAATTTGTTCATTTATCCCATAAACTTTCCCAGTGGAGGAGACGGAGATGAATTACCCACAGTCTTTTGCTTGAAGGTAGTAGCTAATAGCCCATAGTGGGTGTGAAGGCCCAGGGGACTTGGCTCCTAAGATTCGGAGAAAGTAGTCAGAGCTCTAAGAACAGGAGAAAGAGAACCAGCCGGGGAAGGGAGGAAGACATCTGGGAGAGGGGGGAGCAACGCTTGCAGGCTGTGTCTGTCCATGGTATTGAGGAATGGTTTACGTCCCTTATGGGCACATTGGATCATGTGTGGCTGACAGCTGACTCCAGGGCCAAACACCCCCAAATGGAAAACTCTGTCTTTGCCCACCCCAAGTCTCCACCAACAGATGCAGTTGGAAGGAGTTTGGAAAACATGCCCCTGATGTAAAAGAGTTAGAAACTCAGGCTCTGGGATGGAAGAATATGGAGAGTGATTGTTTCCTTAGCCTCCTCCCAGGGATCCCCAAAGTTCCCCCAACAAGGTTCAGATCCTTTCTACCCCTGCCAGCCTCTAAAGCCCTCCTGGAGTCTCTTTCCTCACTCCTATTCCTTTCATGTCCATTTTTTATTTTATTTTGAGACAAAAAGCCAAAGCAGCATATAGCCAGTCCTCTTCCCAGAAGACTATAGAAGGGGGCACAGGTCCAACCCAGGCTGCTTGCACCCTTAGTATGCATAGTTTTGCTCAAGGGGAAGGTCTCCGAGGCCCTCTGTACACACCCTTATATTGACCCTGTGCCTTGTGCCTGTACTTTATGCTGAGCCCCACACGGTAACCAGACAGTCTGACTTTTCCTGAAGGGACCCATAGCTGAATTTCCCTCTCTACCTTTCTCACTGGGGTGAAACTCTGCCCTTCCAGAGCCCAACCTGTGAGTTTCCACAGGAGAGAGAGGGATAGAGCCCACCTCCGAGGGACCGCCCGGGTGGCAGGGAGAGGCCTTCCTCTAAGGGTAGGGTAGGGCGTGTCTTGTGGGGCAGCCTGAATGGGAGGGAGAAGTGGGGCGCTGGTGACAGAGTCAGATCTTACTAGGAAATGGGAAACTGGCTGGTAGGAAGGAGTGTTCATTAAGAGTTTTGGGTGTGGTTGGCAGGATGCAGGCTGGGGAGTTTAATTAAAGTAGATAGGAAGAAGTTTCTTAAAAATGGATGTGATGGGCAGGGAGAAACTCATTGGGAGCTGTGGGGACTGAAACCGAAGTCCAGCTTTGTCAGCAGTGATTGGGACCAGGATGACTGGGTGCAGCAATAGCTGAGTAGAAGCAAGATGAGCTGTCTCCCTGAATGTGTGTGAGTATGCACGTGTGAACACGTGTGTGCCCCCAAAGGCGGAGGACTTTTGAGAATACTCTCATTGGGTGAATGCCTGCAAATGGAAGCCTGAATGGATAACCTCGCCTAGAGGTTAGGCTACTGCTAGTTTTTGTTTCTTTGTTTTTTTTGTTTTTGTTTTTTTTTGTACTGGGGATTGAATTCCCAATCTTGCCCTTGTGAGGCAGGCAGCAACACCACTGAGCTAAATCCCCGGGCCAATCCTGCTAGTTTTGTTAACCTTGTGGGAATGGTCCCCATGAGGATGGACCATGGTGGAACAAGAGGCTCTGGAGACAACGTCTTGTGGACAGGAGCGGGTTCCTATCTTGTAAAAGGCCAGTGTCACAGGCTACCAGAAGAAGGATGTGAGTTTTATGCTGAGTACATTGATCAGAAAGCCAGCTTCCACCTTGGCCCACCCATGACCAGAGGGTCTCTGATCATTCCAACTATGGCCTAGCCTATGGTAATCTTCTTGTGTCCAGTTGATATGGAAACCTATTTTCTCAGAGGGATTTATGAGAAACCTCTTTCCCATAGAGGATGCTGGGTGCACTGAGCCTATTTGGCTTCGATGGGAGCTCTGAAGGCCTAGTGCTTATAAAAGCACCCAAAGCTGGTATCTCTGTTCAAATGTCAGAACCTTCAGTGAAGTTTCCCCAGGCAGGACATTGGCTTATAGCCGAGTTTCAGTGACATAATATGCCAGTGCTTCCTGCTCTTTGCTTTGGGCCTATTCTTCTCATGTGTGGTATTTAACATGATAGATGACATCTAGGGTAGCAGTGTCTGGCAGGGGTAAGGGGCTGGACAAGGCACCTTTCCATACAAGGCTGACCCATGATGGTGCCCTGCTGCACAGACAGGTGCCTTGCTCTGGGCCTGGGTTTCCACAAGGTTCCTCTCAGCTCTTCAGGGTCTGTGTGTCCTCAAGAGCCCTGAGGGGAGTGAGGGACCCTGAGGTTCCTGGTTCTGGTAGGAAACATTTGTCCTCTGTGCTTGTTTTTTCATTTTGGAAGGTCAAGCCTAGGAATCACAAAAGACATTTCACCCCATTTGTTTTTCAATTGATAATTCATGATATTTTCTTTGAAATATAAGTATCACCACTAGAGGCAGTGTGAATATCTACTTTCCTAGGTTCTGAACTGGTAATACATTTAAAGAGCTGAGACAAAACAAAGTCAAAGTCAGATAAAAGAGCATGCTATGAAAAGTCTGTCTCCTCCTCACCTCCACCTACTTACTTCCCAGATGAACGACCATTGTAACGGTTCCTCATGTGTATCATTCATACTGGTATTTAATACATTATATGTTATATAATAGGAAAATCAGACTTTCTGTATATTCATATACGCATATTACATAAAGTCTTATTTTCTTCCCTTTTTTTTGTGTGTGTGGGGAGTCAAACTCGGGCCCTTGCACTTGGGAGGCAGGCGGCCCCTTATTTTCTCCTCTTTCACATGAAACGTTGTATATTTTACACACTATGCTATATCCTTGCTTATAACAACGTATCATAAAAGTCTTTCTATCCTAATCAGAAGAGGGAGTCCTCACCTTTTTTGCTGCTGCATTCAGGTTTTACATTGTGCACATATGCCAGAGCTCATTTAACCAATCCTCTGTAAATAAACCTAGGCTGTTTCCAGTCTTTTGCTCCAAGAATCTGAACATGTATCATTTTCCATGTGTAAGTGTAGCTGTACAGTGAATTCTCAGAAGTGCCATCATCCATCAAAGGGAATGTGCACTTGAGATATTGATAGCTTTTGTCAAATTAACTAGCACAGGTGTGTGGTCACTCCCGCCAGAATTGTATGAGCGTCTGTTTCCCTACAGCCTTTCCAGCCCAGTATTTTATTGACTCGACATGTGATGTGGTAGCCAGTGTCCAGGTGAGGACATCAGTTCTAGGAAAGACTATGCCTCCAAGGAGGGTCTTTAGTACAGAAAGGGTAGTAGCGCCTGGAGACTAAGTCCCTGAGTCAGCCTGAGCACTCAACTTCAGCACTAATGAACATTTAATGTCGTCAGGTCTCCATTTTCTCATCTGTAAAATGAAGAAAATAATAACATGCTGTATTAGCCAGTGTTTTTTTTTTTGTTATAGTAATGAAATAACTGGATGGATAACTTTACTAAGAAAAGAGGTTTATTTAGCTCATTGTTTCAGAAGTTCAAAGATTCGGTACTGGTTTTGGCTCACCTCTGGTGAAGGACTCATGGAGATGGTGCCACAGTGGCAGAAGCATTTGCTCAAGAGCGAGAGGTCACATCACCAGACAGGAAGTCAGAGGGAATGGAAGGGCCAATCTTGTGCTCTTCTACTAGGCCGTACCTCTTAAAGGTCCCACCATTTCTCTACTACCACACTGAGGAGCAAGCTTCCAGCACATGAACCCCTGGAGGACAAATTTAAACCATTTTCAAACTATAGAACATACATTGGGGTTGGTCATTGTGAGAATTAGATGAGATGACACCTAAGAAAGGGCTTTGCATGGTGACTGCCATGTGGCTACGGAAGGCTGGCTCTGCAGTCACTAGTAGGTGACATTGGCTTAGGCAGCCTCTTACTGGAACTTCTGCTATTTCCTGTGGTCAAGGAAAGAGCTAGGTTTGAGGGTCTCTGAGGCTCTGACCTACCAGTCTCTAGCAACTTGTCCAACCTTCACTCACCTTTCTTCTTTCATGCTCATCAAAGGTATTCAGGAGTCTCCAGTGCCGAATGGTCACTCCCTTCCGGGCAGAGATTTCCTGCGGAAGCAGATGAGAGGAGACCTGTTCACACAGCAGCAGCTGGAGGTGCTAGACCGAGTGTTTGAGAGGCAGCACTACTCAGACATCTTCACCACCACGGAGCCCATCAAGCCTGAGCAGGTACACCCCATGACTCATGCCTGCCACCACAGTACAGGCTCGGGTCCCTCTCCTGAAGGCAGAGGCCTCTGGCATGTTATGAGTGAGAGCCCACCAGCTTCAACTCTGAGTGGGCTTTTTGTTGTGCTGAACTTGGCCATCACAACACTCTAAGGTCAAGAGGATTTATCTGGGGCCCTGGTTTCTTGTCCTACTGCCTCTTGTCTCTGGCCACTCAAGGAACATGTGATTTGTCCGGTTGCTGCACCATTGCTGAGTGGTGTCCTTTCCCGGGGCTCTTTGGACAGGGTGGGTGTAATAATCTTCTAGGCTACGTGAGGTTGTCTTGGGTCATTATCCAATCAGAATGAAGTTGGAAAATAAAGCCAAAAGGTAGCCTGGGGTCTCATCTGCCATAAACTTTCATGGACTACACTGTTAGCCTTCTTGTTGGTTTAACTGTCATGCTTTTAACAACTGGATCCAAGAGACAGGAGTTGAAGAACTGTCACATTGGATAAGCCTGGAGGTTGGAGGAGAGGAAAGGAAGCAGGAGGACCACCCTGGCTGCATAGGCAGCCTGTTGTCCCCAGCTGAGGAGCAGTCACTGTCTGTGGCTATAGACATAATACCAGAAAGACCTCCAGTAAGAGGCTCTCAGGGCCTGAATAAGGTGTCTAAAGTACCAGCTTCAGTTTAGGACAACATTTCCCAATGCCCTATCTATGCCAGGCCCTAACTAGTTACCTGACAACCATGGGCAGCTTAGTTGTGTTTTTAGTCAGCTGAGAACTCCCCTCTGATAGGTAAGTCAGAGAAACCCTATGAGCAATAACTTTGCCCAGCACTTTACTAAGGGGTGCCTATGGTAAGCACCAGCCTCTCTGAGCTTCCTCTAAATGATAATGAGATGGTGCTTTGAAGTTTGTCTAAAGAGCCATTTGAGACAGTGCAGGCCATGGACAGTCTAGGTTCTGGAGGAGATCTTGGGTACAGAATGAGCCAGGCCCCCCAGGCTACCATTTTATGATGCACTGGTGCTCTCTGAGCAGTTCCTATGAGGGCTTTGACAGACCATGTAGCCACTTTGTTTTCAGATGGGGAAACTGAGGCCCAGAGAGGCAAAGTGAGTTGCCTAAGGCCAACCAGCAAGTCATGTATTCACTGAACAAACAGATATGCGCCTACTTTGTACAAGGATCCATTACTGTACAAGACAGGCTTGGATCTGACCTCAAGAAGCCTACAAACTTGCAAAAGAAACACAACAAGTAAGAACTACTCACAGAGTTGTGGGATACAGGTGGGCTTGGTGCTGAGATGTCTAAAGTTCTCTGAGAGTCAGAAGCAGAGATCGAACCATTTTGGAAGGTGTAAAGGAGCCTAGAAGCACTCATCATGAGCCTGGCTGGTTGAGCAGAACGCAGAGAAAGGGTGAAACGGTGAAGGGAATGTGCCTGGCAGAGCAAACAGCTAGTGCAGAGCCCCTGTTGTGATAGGGAGGAGCAGGAGGAGGAAACAGAGGAGCCAGCTTGTCTGGGATTCTGGGAATGGAGTGAGAGGTGATGTTGGGGACATGGGCCTGCTCTTATGGACTGGGGTGAGGATACTGGTCTTTTCCTACAAGTCAAGTAAGGCCTCCCATCAGAATGGTGTAGTTGTGTGTGCCGGACAGAGCTGCTACTACACTCTGGACCCTAGGCTTTGGGAGTAGGAGTCTGCTTCCATCTCTAACAGCCTCTCTCCTCGAGTGACAGTGATAGCCACATTTCCTCTGACATAGGAGAGAAAGAGGGGACTTTCTCAGGATGAGGTCATCATTTCCCCCAGAATCCAGGAGGAAATCATTCTTATAGCTTTTGACAAGAGCATATAATGATAGGGCTCATTTTGTAAAGGCCCAGAGAGGGGACAGAGCTGTCTGGGGTCGCCCAGCAAGTGTGGGTGAAGGGCCAGGGCCAGTGCTCTGCACTCGGCCTGACCATCCAGCACGAAGCACCAGCACCCCCATTAAGCCCCTGTTTATGAGGCACCGGATGTTTGGTGCTAGAGGCTCCCTCAGTTTTTCACATGATCCTCCTGGAAGCCAGAATCTGAGTTCTACTTCGTTTATCTTAGGATGCCGCATGAGATGGGGCAGACTGTAAAGCTTCATAGTCAGTTCTACCCCGGTGCTCAGAATCCAGTTACCTGTGTGCTGATTCTCTCACTTGCTTAGAGGCTCATGGACTCAGTGTATTTCTTGCACATAGGCTGTGGGCCTGGTATTGTGCCTGGCCCTTGGGGGACACAGGCACGAGCCACACATATCTGCTCCGCCTACTGTTTTAGGACAGTGAGATGTGGACTTAAAAGACAGAGGATGAGAGAGATGGTCTTGTGGGTCCAGATGAAGTATGAGTGAGAGGGAGAAGTCGCCTTGGTGGAAGCATCACAGGCAATAGTATGGAGAGGTGACATCAGTGGGGGCCCTGAAGGGCCCCCCGATGTGCTCCAAGGGGGAGGAAACCTGAGTTACAGGCTCTGTGAGGACTTCGTCGCTGGCAGTGTCCTTCAGAATCTGCCGGAATATCTGTGGGCCTGTGTCTGTGTGGGGTCTGAGGCAGGGCCTGCAAGCAGACGGCACAGGGGATAATGACTGACTCAGTGTTTTCTGGTTAATCTGCTTCACCTCCCGTAATGTGCTGTAATGAGGAGAGATGGGAGGTGAGGCTGCAGGGCCACCTGCACAAATATAGCCACTGGACTATGAATGACATACCCTCGCACACAGTGCCCCATCACTTCGGGCAAATGATGGCTTGAGCAAGGGGCCGCAGCAGGGAAGGGATGCATGTCAAGGGTATGGTTCCTCGCATCCTCTTCTGCTTGCTATCTGCCGGGTGACTATTCCACGAGCGTTGCCTCATGAGCCCAGGGTGGCGTGGTGGTGGCACCAGGAGAGAGCTCTGAGCGTCTGGCTTGGTGGCTGGCCATCTCTTCCATTTGTGAGCACATCAGGCTGTCTGGGTTTGTGTCTCTGACCTGGTGGCCTGGGTAGGAACTTGCTGTCATCTTCATGGAGTATCCAGGTGGGGAAGAAAGAAGCTCCTCTGGCCTTAGAGTTGGGGAGCTTGATCTGAGTCCTGATCCTGCCCTGTTGAGCAAGTCAGTTTTTTCTGGGTTTCAGGTTCCATACATGTGGCAGGGTTGTAATCACAGTTGACAACAGCAGCAACCTAACCATGACAAAGATGCTCCTCATCTATGCGTGAGAATGGTGAGCTTTCAAAGGTCTTTTATGTGCAGTCTCTCACTGCACCCTCTATTTAAATGCCTTCCAATCAGGCTGGGCAAGCTGGGTGAGGCTCATCTGGAACTTTTTCATCAGACTGTTCACCCAGTTTTAAGGTCCAGGAAGTTTCCTGGATTGTCAAGGCCACAGTGCTGGAATGGGACCTCAGGATCTTCTGTCCCATGTTGTAAAAGGTGGCTCCATGGGCCTTCATGGCCCTGTAATGCTTGAGGAGCAGTTCTCTGACTATCCTTTTGCAGCCAGAGTCTGCTTGTCCTTCTGGGACCCTCACAGTCTTTCATTGGCTTGGGGAGGTCACATCCTGCCAAATCCCTCACCCTCCTGGGACTGTTGGGAAGAGCTTCTGTGCTAAGGCTCAGGCTAGAGTCTTGCCAGACACAGTCATAAGCTCAGAGGTCCTCACCTCCTCTTGCTGCTTTTCCTGCCAAGTCCTGCCCTGGATAGGTGGATCAGTCTTGGGTTTTCATAGGGAAATTTAGTAAACCCTTTGAGTTGTTGGAAGGGGTTAATGGAGTCCCACTCCTAGGGCAATGAAACACTTCCTTTTCAAAATGGTTATTGAAAAAGCAATTCTGTTTTTCCTACATGTGGAGTGAGTAAAAATCACCTTGGAGGAGCAGAAGAGGAAAAAACAAGATGAAGAAATAAGCGCTGGTGGTGAGAGAGTGCGTGTGTGTGTGTGTGCGCGCGTGTGTGGCCAACAGTGGAATCTGTTTCAGTAAAACTCGTGTTGACACCGTCATGGGCGCCTGCCGGCATGGTGGCAGAGCAGGTCCCTCCTCTGGCCACTGCAGGAAGGCCTCTGAGCACAGCCTGCCGTATTTACTCTCGGCAGACTATTAACCAACACCAGGCTATTAATCTGGCTTTTGAGCCTTCACTAAAGCCCATAAAAGCTCACAGTTGTCAAATGGAGTTCATTTTAATTTCCTTTCAATCACAGTAAATTATTCAGGTGATAAATCAGCTGGAGCAGCCTCCTGGCTGTAATAGAAACCCTAATTCCTGGCTAATTATCCAGCCCATTGCTGCCAACAGATCAATACGAGCACAAAATGGAACGGGCCCCGGGCCCTCCCTCCCATTGGGCCAGAGACAGAGAGACAGCTGGGGAAGGGGACGTGCTGCTGACCTCCTGGGAAGTTCAAAGGTCACAAGGGGTTAAAGTGGGAGAAGGCCTGTCCCTTGTCTAACAGAGAAAGTCACCAGAAGTGCCTCCTGCTCTCCTGAGCTGCTTTGCCCTCTGGTACATTTCTCCAGGCTGGTGGGCCTAAGGGATTCTGGTGTGGCCTACTCCTGTGGGCATCCTGTTCCTGGAAAGAGGCTGGATGGCATTACCCAGCATGATTGAGGTTGAACAACACCCACCATAACTTAGAAAAAGGGCTGGGTACCGTGGGGAGAAAGACGAGACTCTGGACCTGTTTCCTTTCTTCCTTGTCCTCCCAGCAGGTCTGTGTCACACCACACGGAGGTGGAAGAGGGAGAGGAGGCAGGTGTGCCAGGATGGAAGGAGGTGCCATTAGTGCTGTGTGTTGAGGGATGGGCAGGGTCAGACCTGTGGGGATGCTAGCTAGTTGGCTGGTGAGGGTGTGCTACGCAGAAGGAATAGCGTGGGCAAAAAGGTGGGAGGGCTGTGAGCATGGCAGGAAAGTGCCAGTGGGTGGTTGGATGTGGGCTGAGTGGCAGGAAGTCAGGGACAGTGGGCAGGACAAGCAGAAGGGAC